TATCAGGGGTATATCCTTTCTCTGTACATATTCACTCTGTATGCTGTGCAAGTCATTTGTGAAACAGCACTCTATGAAGAAGAATGTAGCATCAAGACTGGAAAAAAATTAACACCTGCACTATGCAGATGACACAACCTTGCTTACTGAAAGTAGGGGCATCTGAAGTGCTTGCTGCAGAAGGTGAAAACTATAACCTTCAATATGGATTCCATTTTAACATCAAGAAAACAAAGGTCCTTACCACTGGGCCAGTGGTCAGCCTCATAGTGGATGGAGAAAGGATTGAAACTGTTGATAATTCATCTTGCTTGGTACCAGAAATAAGGAGATTAGAAGACATGTTACTTTGGGCAAATCTGCTGTCAAGAACCTCTCCAAAAAAAATACTGAGGCACACTGATGTCAGTTTGAAAACTAAGGTATGCCTGATTAGTGATATGGTCTTTTCAATTATTTGCTATGCATCTGAGAGTTAGACCGTAAATAAGGATGACAGAAGAAGAATTGATGCCTTTGAGTTGTGGTTTTGGAAAAGAGTACTGAATATCGCATGGACTGGAAATAGAATGAACACATATATCTTGGAAAAGGTACAGCCAGAGTGCTCCAGAAGGCAACGATGTCAAAGCTTCATCTCTCATACTTTGGACATGTTTCTAAGAGGTGCTATCTTAGAAAGGTGGAGGGTCACTGAAAGAGGAATTGACATCGTGACTCCAATAATAGACTGAAGTGTATCAGAGATGGTAAGGATGACACAGGATATGACAGGATAAGACCATCTAGATCTGTTGTTTGTAGAGTTGCTATAAGTTGTACTCAACTCAACAACACCTAATGACAACAACAGCAGTGCTGTTAGAGCAGAGATAGTACAAGTGGGTTGTTACGGCCTTAACAGGCAAATTTATTCTCTCAAATTAGGAGGCTAGAAGTTAAAATTTAGGGTGATGGCGCTAGAGGAAAGCTTTCTTTCTCTGTCTTTCCTAATTCTAGGAAGTCCTCGGTATAGGAACCTGGATGCAAATGATGCCTTCTACTCCTGACTCTTCTTTCTTGATGGTCCCCAGGTCCTGCTTTCTCTACTTCCTTCTCTCTCCTTTCATCTCTTGATCTCAAGAAAATATAAGTTCATACCTCATGAAAGCTCTCCTTACATCAGACAGGGCTGTGACCTGATTAAGGGTGTTACTTTTTACCTTAAACCCCTTACAGTTGATTAGCTAATCAAATCAGATCACAACATGAAGAATGATTACATCATTGCAATACTGCCTATAATTCTGTCTTTTTAACGTCATAGAAATTAGGATTTGCCACATACAGAGTAATTAAGTACAACTGAGAATCATAGTGTAGCCAAGTTGGCACATATGTTGGGGGACACAATTTAACCTATGTAAGATTGTATCTATTTTGATACTTTTTTGGGTTATGTGCATATTACTTTATCTCTCTTTTTATACTTTATAGTGCCAATTTGGAAGAGACTGAATCATAGGATGGTGACTAGCCATCGTTTAAAATATAACTCACATGAAACACTATAAAGGACAAACCAACTATGTCCTTATTTCAGAATGCTTGATAATATTGCTTCCTGTACAATTTGTGAGAATAAATTCTCCCTTGTAAATATTCATCAGACATTATTATTCAAATGATAGAGATATTGATATTCCTGGAATATAACTGATATCTTATGAAAACTGGGCTATTTTAGTGATGAAATAAATGTAGATACATAGTGGTGGTTAGAATTCCAGTAACTTCTATAAAATTTTTATTACTCATAAAACATATCTTATCATTGCCTATTTGCAAAAGGGTCCAAGAGCTGAAACAACTGTTATAAATCATATAACCTAGTCATTGAAAATTCACTTGCCTCCAGGGGCCAGAAAAGTGATGCAATGCATAAACTAGGCTTACCTTATTTAATGATACTGTGGCTTCCTTCCATCAGAAGCATTTTTAAATCTGCAGTTAAGAAAACTTATTTACTTAATATCTGAACCCAACAAAGAATTCAAAACAATGTTTTATAGTCTTCATATCCTTGATGAGTGATTAATGTGCATACACCTTGTGGAGAAAAAAAAAGAGCTGAGAAAATGAGACACTATAGACATTGCTTAATGAAAATGTAGCTTATCTGAAGAACACAGGCATGAAGTTTGAATCCATCAGCTGCCCCATGGGAGAAAAATGGGCAGTCTTCCTCCACTGCAGTTTGTTGTCACTGAAGAGACACTGAAGGGTCAGCTAGGAGGCAGTTTTTACTTGATATTATAAAATAACAACATAGAACATAGTTATTAATATTTGAAATGTTTGCCACATTATTTCATTTCTTTTTTTGTGTGTGTGTATGTTCAGCTAATACTGAAATTACTCATTCAATATATTGCTTCATGGAGAAGCAAAGCTGGTAGATGTTTATCTCTCGCGTGTTTCATAAAATATTATGAAATATAGAAACTGAATGTTATAGAATTTTGTTTTTAACTTTTTACAGGTGGAGATTTGCATTTTTCCTTTATATGTTTACCTATGGAGTCCGGTTCCTGAAAAAGGTAGGCTCTGCCAAGTTACCTTATGTAATCCTTGCATAGCTGTAAACCTGTATTCCATGTTTTAAGTGTATGTCAATGGTAATATTTTGAACAACCATCTCAGCTTCTTAAGAATTATGTGTGCATTTTTATTTGACTTACAGGAATATTTGCAATTTATTCTTTATTGTAAATCATTTTTAGGCATATACTAAAAACAGCTTTGAAAAAAAAATTTCAGTTGAATGATGCTGCTAAGTCCCTTATCCACCATGGTTTGTTATTACGTATGAACATTGGAGTTAAGTAGACTTTTCATACCATACTTGCAAAATCAGTTTTGTTGTTTGTTTGTTTTTTCGGTCTGAAAAAATAATACACTTAACTGAAAAACCTGGAGTGGATTATTACCCCACTCCCCTAGATGAGAGGGCTGAGGAGTCCAGACCCCCTACATCACCTCATAACCACTTTGGATACTCTTCCCAAGGCAACAAGCAAAGACAATTCCCAGAACCTCCACCCAGGGGTGCTGCAGCCACTACCAGCACATTGCTCCTCAGCCAGCCTCCAGTCATCTCAGTGCAGCCCTTGGTATAGATATCCTTTGCATTGAACTTGATCCCACAGCCCGCAGAGACATTGACACACCAGGAGTCAGGAATCCAACCCTTGGGCGCCAGAGGAATGGTCTCCCAAATTAGCAGCGCCACAACATTTAAACTCTTGCTGCAGCTTGTCCAAAAACACAACTGTCTGGTTGTCTTTTGGCTAAGTCTGCATTTGTTGCTGGAAATTCTTCTTAAACTCTGACATCATCTTATCTCTAAATACGTAGCCAGCAAAGGCTGTGGCCACCTCCACCAGCATAATAAGAGGCAGGAAAATTACAAACGTGATCATAAGACAGCAGTTCTCCTTGCAGGCACCACAGCAGCCCACAAGGACCACCAGGAAGAGGAAGGCACCCACTGCAATGGTGACTACAAGCAACAAGGAGCCAGGAGTGGGCCCTTGGTAATCTGACTCAAGAAGACCTGGGCTCCTAAACTCATGGTGATCAGTCCCACTGCACAGGCGCAAAAGGCCAGCAGAAAAACGTAGAGCAAGAATTTGTCACATTTCATCCCTCCTTCCACCACCATGGCCGCTGGGTCCCATGTGACGCGGGAACAGCTGCGTCCTGAGTCACCCTGGCTTGCGAGGGGAGGGCTGAACCTGCAGCCTGGCTAGATACGCGTGGCTCCCACCCCAGAAACCATGCCCACCCCCACACTGAAAGAGGCCCCCGGGCAGGACCTCGTGGGGGCCTTCTGGCGCTTCTACTCGAGTTACACTGGCAAGACAGGCTTTACACTATGCATCACTATTACAAGATTTATCAGTATGAGTACTGTTTTGGTGTGTTGCCTAAGTTATTTGTTGAACAATACTGACTGCCAATGGGAAATTTCATTTATTTTTTAGATTATATGTCCCCTGGTTCTACTTTGCTATATTCTGTATATACTAAGGCAGATTTTATCTGTGAAAGTGTTTTGTTGTGGGTGCCATAGTCTCTTTCCTGCTTATTTTGTTGTTTATTGCTACTCTAAACAAGTTGGATTGCTTATATTCAAGAGTCATGAAGAATTATCTTTCATGGTCACTCATGTTAAGAAAACCCCTCAAACTTTTTACCATTTATGGTTCCGTAAGTCAGAACCAACTTACAGCTGACCCTCCAGCAAGTTTTCAGAGGCTGTAAATTGTATGTGAAGTGATTGCCTATCTTTCTCCCAGGGAGTGTTTCCTGGATTCAAGTGACCTGAAAGATACCACCTTGGAGTTGGCACTGTAACTCCCTGAGGTCTGCACCACCAAAGCTCCTTAGTCATTCATACAGCAACATATTGACATGGCATCAAATGGGAAATTACCTTAAAATTATTTTATAGCGGGGATATTGGGTACCAGGGAGGGAGTCTTTCTTTTACTTTTAAAAGAGAGGAGCGAACTGGGGGGCGGGGAGAGAAGTGCAGCAATGAATGAATGGAAATCCAAATTCTCTGTAAATGTTCATTTAAATTATTTTAAAAAATAAAATATTAAAAAAAGATATACACACCACAACAAGATAAAGGTAAATAATCCAATAGAAAAATGGGCACAGGATATGAACAGGCACTTCACCGAAGACGACATTCAGATG